CCTGCAAGGATTAGGCTCAATCTCTCAGTGCATTTTCAATGCCCGAGTTGGCAGTGGCTGGGTGATGCGCAAGTGTCCCAAGCCAGGTGATGCTCGGAGGTTCTAGAAAAGGCTCTCTTGCCCCTAGGAGATGGACTTTGTTTCTCTGGATGTGGTCTGCAGTGGGGCGGCAGGGGAATGAGCTTCCAAGGAGAGGCGGAGGGTGGGGCCGCTGAAGTAGAGCTAGACTCTTACGTGAGATGATAAAGCCTTTTAGGGCCCTTCAAAGTGGGGTTTCACGTCACCTGGAGCTGGAAACACGGAGTCTTCCCTTTAATAATCATGTTTTCTGTCTCCAGTTTTTAGATCTTACTTAAATTTCTCTCTGTTGTGCTTTGTAATTGGTAGCATAAATGTCTTGAATATATTTTATTAAACATTTCTCTTTTGTGATTTTGTTGCTGTTGGATGTATTTCTCACTTCTAATGCTTTTTGTTCCTTTTTGTAGATTTGAACGTTTATCTGCTCCATTCCCGTTCAGTATGAAGAACTTCTTTCAGCATTTCTTACAGTTCAGGACTGTTGGCAAAAGAGGCTCTCAGGTTTCATTGACATGAAAATGTCTTTATTTTACTTTCAATTTTTGTTAACTGGCTTATTTACGTTTTAAAGTGTTACAATTCAATGGTATATTCATAGAGTTTGCACCATCCCCACTACCTAACTGCAGAACATTTCTGTCGTCTCTGTAATAAACGCACGGCCAGGTCAGTCACTCTTCCTCGAGGCCCCGCCGGCCACTTGTTCATTTCCTGTCTCTACAGATGACTAGTAAGAACATTTCTAATGTAAATGGAGTCATAAAATATGTGTCCTTTTGTGTCTGGCTTCTTTCTTATAGTATATTCCTACGGTGCATCCATGTTGCAGCTTCATTAGTATTTCATTCCTTAATTTTTTTGTTGTTCAAGTGCAGTTGTCCCCACCCCCACTTCCCCCATCCCACCCACCCCCCTTTGCCTTTGTCCATGGGCCCTTTATACATGTTCCTTGATGACCCTTCCCCTACTTTCCCACGTTATCCCCCTCCACCCTCCTCTCTGGTTACTGTCAGTTTGTTCTTTATCTCAATGTCTCTGGTTATATTTTGCTTGCTGCTTTTTGCTTGTTGTTTTTGTTAAGACAACTCTTTTTAAGAGCCGTTTTTAGGTTCGCAACAAAATTGGGAAAAAGGTTCTCCCATCACGAGCATCACTCACAGGAGCGGAGCATTTGTTACCGAGGATGAACTCACATTGACCGACTCACCATTACCACCTGAAGTCCATGGTTTACCTTATGTTCATCCTTGGTGTGGCATATCCTGTGGGTTGGGACCAATACATGCCCATCATTATATTATCATTCAGTGTTTTCACTGCCCTGAACATTTTCTGTGCTCTGCGTATTTACCCCTCACCTCACAGCGACCACTGATCATTTCATTGTCTCCAACATTTCGTCTTTTCTGGAGTGCAGAAGAGTTGAAATCCTGCAGTGTGTAGCCTTTTCGGATTGGCTTCTTTCACTTCGTAACATGCATTTAAGGCTCTTCCATGTAGTTTCATGGCTTGACAGCTCATGTCTCTTTAGCACTTCAGTCCATTGTCTGGATGTACTGTGCTTACGGATCCCTTCCCTCACCGAAGAACATTTTGGTTGCTTCTAGGTCTGGGTAATTATGGTTGAAGATGCTATAAAGATCTTTGTGCAGGTTTTTCTGTGAACGTATGTTTTCAAGTCCTTTGGGTGAAGACCAAGGAGTGTGATTACTGGATCATGTGGTAAGAGTATGTTTAGTTTTGTAAGAAAGCGCCAAACTATCTTCCAAAGTGTCTGTGCCATTGTGTGTTATTACCAGCAGTGTGTGCGAGTCCCTGTTTCTTCACATCCTCTCCAGCATTTGGTGCATTCCTTTAACTGTAGCAAAAAAAACACCCCATAATATTTACCACTTTAACTGTACAATACAGTGGAATTAAGTATATTCACATTGTTGTGAAAATACCCATCAAATAGCAACTCTGTTTTCTCCCTTCCCCCCTGCTCTGGTACACTACAATTCTATTTCTACTTCAATGAATTTGACTACAGATACCTAATCTAAGTGGAAACATGTATTTGTCATTTTGTGGCTGTTGTATTTCACTTAGCACAAGGACCTCAAGGTTCATCTCTGTTGTAGCATGGGACAGGATTTCCTTCTTAAGGCCGAACAATCCTCCACACCTCTTGGCTGTTGTGTCCAGTGCTGCTATGAGTGTGGGTGTGCAAATATCTCTTTGAGACCCTGTGTTCAGTTCTTTGGAATATATACCCAGAAGTGGGTATAATTGCTGAATCATATGGTAGTTCTATTTTTAATTTTTTGATGGAACTCCATACTGTTTTCCATAATGGTTGCAATAATTTTACAATCCCGTCAATAGTGCACAAGTTCCAACTTCTCTACATCCCTATCAACACTTGTTTTCAGCAAGGTATGAGGAAACAGCAATGTATGGGTGCCTCTCTTGTGTACCTTACTGTGGACCTGGCCTGCAACCCAGGCATGTGCCCTGACTGGAAATTGAACTGGCGACCCTTTGGTTCACAGGCTGGCACTCAATCCACTGAGCCACACCAGGCAAGGCCATTATCTAAATCAATTTATAGAATACTTTCACTATTCCAGAATGCCCTTTCCAGTCTATACTCACCCAGCGGTTTTCACCCTAGATATGTTTTGCCTGATTCAGAGATTGATATAAACGTTATGTCCAATACTTCTTGTTCAGCATTTTTCACATTTATTCCTCTCTGAGCAATTCATTTTTTAAAATTGCAGATAGTATTCCAATATACCATTATTTGATTATCCATTAACTTGGTGGTAGATATGAGCAGTTTCCATTTTGGGGGTATTGTAAATAAAGCTGCTATGAATATTCTTGTACAAATTTTATTGTGGGCGTACATACTAATTTCTCTTGCTTGTATTTCGGAAGTGGAATCAACGAGACACAGGGTAGGCATATATTTACGTTTATAAGAGACTGACAGGCTGTTTCCCAAGGCAGTTATACCAATGTACACTTCTAACAGCTGCTCATGTTCCCACTAGTATTTCCTTGTGGTTTTATTTTGCATTCCTTGATGGCTGATGTTGAGCACCTTTTCATATATATTCAGCCAGTTATGCATCTGGATAGGTTCTGTGAGTTGTGTATCCACTAATTTATTTTTAATAGTATTGCTTTTGCAATGGCTTCTTAGTTGTTTTTCCCAATAGGAGTCCTTTGTCAGTTACATGTTCAGCAAGTACAGGGTCCGTCACAAATAATGCCCCTTTTTTATTACAAAATCCCAAGCTTGTAATTCTGTAACATAGCATATCACACTCAAGCACACCATATGACATTTCAGGTAAAATGTCCGGATTACGACTCTGTAATAAATTGTTACACCTGCATTATCACCCTCCCAGCCACACTTACGTAGGCATTACTTCTGCCGGACCTGTGTTTTCTGCCTGGCTGCGGCTTGCCATTTCACTTCAACAGTATCTTTTTTAGGAAGAGGGTTTAGTGCTGGTGAGATTTATTATTTTTTTTCCTCTTATGGTTAACGTCTTTTGTGTCTTAAAGCTATCTTTGCCTGCCCCAAGAGTTGTGAAGACATTGTGTTCTTCTAGATTTATTGTTTTGCTCTTCATATTTAGATCTGTCATCAATTTTGAATAAATTGTATGAAAGCACCAATTAAAAAAATATAGATATCCAGTTAATCCAGCTCCAACTTAAAAACATAAAACCCCTTTCCTTCCCCTACTGAATTGCTCGGTGTTTTGGTTGAAAAGCCAATGACCATACACATGCGTATGAGCGGGCCTGTTGCTGGGCTCTTTTCTACCCACCGATCTGTCTGTCCGAACTCGAGCACCACACTCTAATCACTACAGCTTTAAAGCAAGCCATGAAATCAAGTAGTGTTAAGTCATCCATTGTTTCCCCTTCTTCAACATTATCTTGACTCTTCTGGGCCTACTGCTTTTCCACATATATTTGCCAATTTATTTAAGAGTGCCTCATAAGATTTTGATTTCATTGAAACCATAGATTTGTACAAAACTGAGATCTTCACATTATTCAGTGTTTTAGCCCATGAGCACAATATGTTTACTGCAGTGTCCCATGATCTCGCTCAGCAACATTCTGTAGTTTTCATGGTGGCAGTCTTGCACATCTCATTAACTCTCTTCTGAGGTATTTAACTCATATGGTGCTATTATAAATAATATTTTAAAATTAAATTTTTAATTGTTTTTGCTAGCATATAGACAGTACAATTAGTTTTGTCTCATATCCTGCAAAATGTTTAGTTCTAGTAGATTTATAAAGCAAACTCTTGGTAACCCCAGAGAATGGGAGCAATGTCATGTAAATGGGAATGCATCTAATTTTCCAAACAGGGTAAAAAGGGGTTCAGTTTGTATTCCTCCTTTTACAGTTTTCATCTCAGAAACATTATCTTCCAATTTTCTTTTTCCTTTGAAGAACATGTAATTTTCGAGTCAAACCTACTCTTGCTATACTTATTGGGAAAAAGGGAGAGCACCAAGTCTTGACAGAGGAACCTCTGATTCCCAGCTGCAGGTAGAACAAGGAGGTGGGGCATGGCCGACATGCTGCCCGTTTCTGCGGAATGGTGAACAACGTAAGGCTTTTCAAGAATGCCAACAGGAACAGAAAGACATTCTAAAATGGACTGGGACTAAAGTACAGTGGGTAGATTTGCGGTTTTTCAATTATTCTTGTTACATTTATAAACTCTTCACTGGTCAAATAACAGTCCCATCTTTTCATCCTTTCATTCTTTTTCACTCCTTCTTTTTCCTCAGTTTGTTCTACAACAGAATGATTAGCATACTGTCTAATCTACAAATGGATGTAGTGAACAGGGGCCCATTTCAACTTCAAATAACACCAATGTAAGGCACAACTATTCAGGAATATTTTATATTTTCAAAGTATTTAGGAATTCTTTAATTAGAAAAATAAAGGCAATGGTATTATCTATCAGGTTCTAAAGGTACCCATGAATTAAATCACTCACATCCCCCTCTTAAAAAACAAAAAACAAAACAAAACCTTAAATCACATTGCTATTAAGCTTTCTTACAGTAAGGAGTAAGACCAAGCTATGCTAGAGTACAAAACCTGAAATTCTGAGCATGAAAATAATTTATTGACTAGACATCTGGTTTATTCAAGCATTAGGCCTACTGAAGACAGAACTGACACAGCTCATGGAGCAGGAAAAAAATCCACCCAGCACTGCTTAACTTCAAATTTCCTGGGGACGAAATCTCTGCCTTTTGTACTACAGACTCATCTTCAGGCATCCACATGTGCTGGTATTAACTTGACTAGGATGTGAGAACTTTCTGTACAGTCAACTTGGCAAGTGCCAATGCAACTTTCAGGGACATTCTTAGGCACACACAACAAATAGCGCTGCCTGCAGTAAAAGTCTTTGATAATCAAAGAAAAGAATACCACTTAAATATAGTATTACAAATAGAAAAAAATATGCACTTTTGCTAATGGACTGCTTTACATATCAGGAAAAATGTTACGAGATTTTTCTTTCTATGGGAGTAAAACTTAATTGATATTCAACTTTTAATCAACACTCAGGTTATTTTGCAGTACTGGAAATCAAGCAAAAAAACTGATTTAACTTAAATTTAGAGAAGTGCAGGATTAATAATATGGAGTAATAGTTGCACTTCTTTGACTAACTCATTAAAAAATGCCAATTAAACATTTTCAGTTAAATTTTATTTTCTTAAAAAATGCAGCAGATCAACATTACAATTCAAGAACCTAAACTAAATACGCACTTGACAGTGAAGCACATCTTGAGTATGGAGTGAAAAGTTTTCAAGAACAAAAACAAAAAAAAACACACAACGTCAAATGTATCATCTCCAAATACCCAAATAACAAATCACTTCTGCAGGCCTTTTGTTGAGTGGAATCAGAAACAAAAAACTGAAGATTTATTGCTGTAAAAACATACCTGTAGTACAGTAGTATGAATCTTGGGTATTAAGCATAATCAGTTGAATGAAGTGAAGTTGTTGAAAATCTAATAAGAAATTCATGTGTGTGCAAGTCTATAAGCCAGTTGACCCAAGAGCAACTGAGATATCTAACTGTGCAGTGAACCCAGATATGATTTTAAATCCCCATTTTTGGAAGGCAATTAAAAATTACAATTCTAACAGCCCACAAACCAAATTTTAAAAATTGTATAAAGCAATTAAAACTACGTTCAAAGAGCCTTTTTTCCCAGCTCGATTTCAGCACCCCGAGGAGAAATAAAAAAGCATCCATGACTGTCACAGATGAAAACAAAATGAATGTGGTTGGAGTCAGTTATCTTTCCCACTGAGGTATAAAATCTATATAAGAAATTTGATACTATACTATAACAAATTGTACTTCTCATAGTTCTGTTTTAATTTCCTTTAAACCCTGTTTTATATAGTTTTTAATTGTAAAAATGTTGCTTTCATGATTCTGAATCTGGTTCCAGTTCTTTTCATATATCTTTATATCAATATTTAATATACTGGCTACCAGTTCTAACCAGAAAAATCTTAGAAATCTCTTCACTATGACAGCATGTCCAGCAGAAATTACTGATGTGCAAGCAAACCCCAAAAGGCCCGGCTCTCTGGAGCGCACATGTTGTTGATTGTTTCACTGTCTGAACACTCTTTACAATGATTCTCGACGAAAGACTCTCTCAATCTTGTAAACATCAGTGTGCACGGCCTCGCTGCACGGCAGTTGCACGTCCTCGGAAAGGAAGGCTGGCCCACAGCTAGTGAGAAGCAACCGTCTCCCGTCGTGATGGCTGCTACACCGTTCGTCCTGCAGGAGGAAGCACTTGTCCACGTTTGCTGCTTCAGAATGTGGCAGAAATGTATGCTGAGGTAGCCCAGTCAATCCTTACTTTTTTCTTTTTTCATGTAAATTTGGTCTCAGAATATTTCTGGAAGCGTGACGTTTCGAAGAAGCCACTGCTGGGACCGGCTCCCAGTGCAGTCTCTGATGCTGGGCACCTGGCTGTCGTCCTCCGTAGCTTTGTCCAGGCACTGGTTACTGTTCACGTGCTGCAGCGTGAGCTTCTGAAACGGCAGGGGAGGGGTTTTCACGTGAACGCGGGAAACAAAGCCAAACAAAACCGTCTCGACCCTCATTTGGTAATTGTTAAATTCCTCAGTAGAAGGGGAGTTTTGGTTTGTTTTGTGATGTGAATTATTGAAAGAACAAGGGAGATGAGGCACCTCTGTGAAGATGGCAGGAAGAGGTGTGTGGGGAGGAGAAAAGGCACCAGGGACAGTGGGCTCCCCCGAACTTGCAGCACGATGACCCCGATTCTAAGCCCATTTCTGCCATAAGCTTCGTGACAACTTTTATTGTTTTGTGTTTTAGTTTCCCAAAAATATCATTGGATTAGTGGTTCCTAATTTAGGATCCTCAACCTATTTTCAAAGAGCTATTTTAAAATTGCTTCATTTCCCTAAGATAAAGCTGTTCAAATGAATTCTGTGATTCTATACCTCAAGTCCTCAGAAACTCAGGTCCTTTTGAAGACTCAAAATCACAGTATTTACAAAGCTGTCCTTAATAAATGGCTAATACATGTAACTATACATCTTCCTGTCTACCTGTTTATATTCTAAATGGTCATGGTGATCTTTAGGACGATTTTTAAAGGAGAGGACAGATGACAATTAACAGGTACACGATGACTCACACTGATGAATCTGATACCCTGCCCCGGTCAGGTTCAGGACGCCAAAGCAACCATGTAGGAATCGTCATTAAGCATTATCCTGTGAGTGTATATATATCTCTTAGGAAATGTGAAATACGTTTATTAAGAATACACATTTATTGCACTTTTTGCTTATGGCTCCATTTTAATGTAATTAATTTATGTGGAACATTTTGTTTTCATAAGGCCTTGTTTGGTACCTGTCTGACCTAAAAACAAAACCCAGTGATTGTATACAATGTAATGTTTTAGCTTTCAGTCATCTATCCTATATTGTGGTCAAAGAGGAAACTGGCAAAAGGCAGTACCCGTCTGCTAGGGACAACTGGCTTTAGGTTCAGTATTATACATGTTAATTCTTATAAATGCGTAATAGGATCTGGATGAAAGTCAGCATGGCTGTGGTTGTTTCTTACTCAGATGCATTGTAGTTCACTTGCTGAGAGAAAGGGCTTTGCAGTAAGACATTTCTAGAATAAATTCCAGATCTGTCACATACCAACTGCAGTCATGTACTGCTTAATGACGAAAATATGACCCGAGGAACGCCTCATTAGGCACAGTGTCTCTGTGTGAACATCACAGGGTGCACTTGCTTACACAGAGCTGGATGGTACAGCCCACTGCACACCTAGGTTGCATGGTACAGCCCACTGCTCCTGGGCTACAGGCCTGCACAGCATGTTGCTGCACAAAACCACCTGAGGCTAACTCAAGCACAAGAGAAAATGATGCGGTGAACACGAGATGTTCAAGGTTGCTGCCAGCCTCACACAGCATACTGTTTTACAGCATATTCTTTTCCTTTTTAAGTAGAAAGAGTAGACTCCACTATACTTCATTATTTTTAAATACATAAACCAGTAATAGTCATTTATTGTCATCGGGCACTATGTACTGCACATAATTACATGTGCTGCACTTCTGTATCACCTGGCAAGGCAGCAGGTATGCTTACACCAGCATCCCCACAAACACTGAGTCTTGTGCTATGGTGGCTACATCACCAGCAGTAGGAATTGTCCGGCTCCATTACAGTCTGATGGGGCCACCATTTTTGTGGGCTGTTGTTGATGGAAACATTATGTGGCACATGACTGTACATGCCATGAGCAAAAACCTCTCTGAGTCCCAAGTTCCTCATCTATAAAATCACAAAAATAATTAAAATTGTTATGAGGAACCCTGACTGGTGTGGCTCAGTTGGTTGGGCGTCATCCTGCAAACCGAAAGGCCCCTGGCTCAATTCCCAGTCAGAACACATGCCTGGGTTTCAGGCCAGGTCCCCAGTCGGGGAGTGCAAGAGGCAACCAATCCATGTTTCTCTCGAACACTGATGTTTTTCTCCCTGTCTTTCTCCCTCCCTTGCCCTCTCTCTAAGAGAGATAAGTAAACAGTTGTGAGGAAAGACTGAAGATAACACACAGAAAGTGTTGCCTAGCTCAGAGCCTGTTCTTGATAAATGGCACTCACTACTGGACACCTCGACCTCAGCAGTACCCCAGGCAGCCAGGAACACAACCTGGCAGGATGGAGAGCCAAAGGGCCCCATGCACACTGCCTGCTGCCACGGCCTTTAGTTATGTGAAACACCAAACCCTCAGACATTCCAGAAGGCCCCGAAAAGCTTCTCTGAGCCTCAGCCTTCGTCAGGCCCACAGTCAGTATTAATAAATACTACGTACAACAAAAAGTTGAGCTGGGGAGTTGGTCCTTTCTCATTCTAATTTCTAAAAGTATTTCACTTATTTAGATTGATTAAAATAAACTAACAAAGACATAGGCATTGATCCACACTTGTTATTGCTCGAAATGAAAGAGAATCCCCACAATTTTAGGAAGCTAACTTCCACTGTGGAGCCCTGACGTCGGGGGAGGGACCCTGCTCTGGCTGCAGACAGCAGGTGCGGAGCTCTGCGGCGCCTGACACCGGGGGCCGTCTTCCCTGTGCTCAGCAGCGCACCTGGTCAGTACTGACCAGTTTCCACAGAGAAAAGGCTTACTTAAGGCAACTGGACAAATTTGTGACACAGCTAATTGTAACCTTTGAAGAGCAGGAGAAAAGCTATAATTGTCGTTGCATAAAAGTTCACCTGCAACCTAGAAAAATAATTTGCCACCTCCTGCCCCAAATCTCTAGATTTAACTGGGTCAAAATATACATTTTTACAGCAGAATGACCAACTACAATTAGTCAAAACAAGAGTCTGGTATAAACTATGCGAAATGTAGTACAAATAAGAGATATAAGCATACACAAATTTAATCAAACATAGTATTATATTGTACAAACAATCTTGAGTCAAGAATCCCATGTCTGCCCTGGCTGGCATAGCTCAGTGGATTGAGCACGGGCTGCGAACCAAAGCATCACAGGTTCGATTCCCAGTCAGGGCACATGCCTGGGTTGCAGGCCATGGCCACCAGCAACCGCACATTGATGTTTCTCTCTCTCTTTCTCCCTCCCTCCCTTCCCTCTCTAAAAATAAATAAAATCTTAAAAAAAAAATCCCATGTCTGCCTGAGATCTGCTGACACCATTTACATGCTCTGTGACCTTGAGTAATTTAATTTCCATTCTGGGCCTCAATATCCACAAGTACAAAACAAAGTCCTGGATTCATTTCTAGGGTTCCTCTGAAATCTGAGACTTCACGATTTCAAATTTAGATTACAGGTTACTGATTTCAAATTTAGGTTACAGATTACTGACATAACTATTTTACTTTCTCAGATTGCTATGTTTTTGACTGACAGAGGCAGGACAATTCTGACAGTCCTTTACGAAGCTCCCTGCCTATGTGGCTCGGGCTGTGGGACCTGCACTGCAGCTTGACTTCTCCCTCCGCCCAATTCTGTCTTCTCCCTTTCCTTTTCACAGTGTTAATCCGGAAGAACTTCTAATAACATCCCGAACACTAATCTTATATCAAAGTTTGCTTCTGGGAGAACCCAGCCTGCAATACTGAAGTTTTATCTTAGGGAAAATACTTTGCAAAGTGCTCCAGGAGTTTTCAAACTTTATACTCATAACTGGATCTTTCTAAATACCCTAGACTTCCAGCCAAGATGGAGGCGTAGGTAGACACACTGTGCCTCCTTACACAACCAAAATAAGGACAACAATTTAGAAACAAACAAACAAAAAAACAACCAGTACTGACAGAAAACTGAACTGTATGGAAGTCCGACAACCAAGGAGTTAAAGAAGAAACATTCGTTCAGACCGGTAGGAGGGGTGGAGTCAGGCGGCTGGGTGGAGAGGACTTGTGGGTGAAGAGGACTTGTGGCAAAGCAGTGGCTGGCAGACCCAGGGGCGTGCAAGGCAGCAGCAGGCAGACCCAGCGAGGTGGAGGATTGTGGAGGGGCGCAGAGCACAAGGCGGCTGGCGAACTGGTTGGTCCTACATTCACGTGCAGATAAACCAGGAGAGACTGGGGAGCAGAACAGACCGCACAACCCAGGGTCCCAGCACAGGGAAATAAAGCCTCAAAACACTGATTGAAAACACCTGTGGGGGCTGAGGTGCCAGGATAGACTCATGGGGTCCTGGAACATACACAAACCCACCCACCTGGGAATCAGCACCAGAAGGGCCCAGTTTGCTTGAGGCAAGTGGCAGAAGGGACTGCAATCTGACAGAGCAGAGCAAGCGCCATTGTTCCCTCTCGGACCTGTCCCCCACATACTATGTCACAACCCAGCGACTGGTTTGCCCCGCCCTGGTGAACATCTAAGGCTCCATCCCTCATTATGTAACAGGTGCACTAAGACAAAACAAACAACAACAACAAAAAAAAAAAACAAGAAAAAAGAAAAAAAGGCCCAAATGAAAGAACAGATCAAAGCTCCAGGAATAATACAACTAAGTGATGAAGAGATAGCTAGCCTATCAGACGCACAGTTCGAAACACTGGTGATCAGGATGCTCAGAGTTGGATGAATTTGTTCGCAAATTAGATGAACATATGAAGGCTATGCCAACTGAAATAAAGGAAAATGTATAGGGGAACAATAACGATGGGAAGAAAACTGGGACTCACATCAATGGAGTGGACCAGAGGGAAGAAAGAAATATACAATTAGAAAAGAATGAAGAAACAAGAATTCAAAAAAATAAGGAGAGGCTTAGGAACCTCCAGGACATCTTTAAACGATTCAACATCTGAATTATAGGGGTACCAGCAGGGGAAAAGGAAGAGCAACAAGTGGAAAAGATATTTGAACAAATAAAAAAGGAGAACTTCCCCATTCTGGCAAAGGAAATAGGCTTCCAGGAAGTCCAGGTAGCTCAGAGAGTCCCAAAGAAGTTGGATCCAAGGAGGAACACACCAAGGCACATCATAATTACATTACCCAAGATAAAAATGAAGGAGAGAATCCTAGAAGCAGCAAGAGATAAGGAGATAGTAACCTACAAAGTAGTTCCCATCAGACTGTCAGCTGATTTCTCAAAAGAGACCTTGCAGGCAAGAAGGCCCTGGAAAGTATTCCAAGTCATGAAAGGCAATCTTTATATCCAAGATTGCTCTATCCAGCAAAGCTTTCATTTAGAATGGAAGGGCAGATAAAGTGTTTCTCAGATAAAGTCAAGTTAAAGGAGTTTATCACCACTAAGCCCTTATTATATGAAATGTTAAAGGAACTTAGAAAAAGAAGATAAAAAACATGTATGGTAAAATGACAGCAAACACAATTATTAACAACCACACCTAAAACAAAAACAAAAACAAACTAAGCAAACAACTAGAACAAAAACAGAACCACAGAAATGGAGATCACATGGAGGGTTAGCAACAGGGGGGTGGGAGGAAGAGAGAGGGGGAAAAGGTACAGAGAATAAGTAGCATAGATGGTAGGTAGACGGGGAGGGTACAAATAGTATGGGAAATGTAGAAGCTAAAGAACTTACAAGTCTGACACATGGACATGAACTAAAGAGGGGAAATGTGGGTGGGAGAGAGTGTGCAGGGTGGAGGGGAGTGAAGGGGGTAAATGGGACAACTGTAATAACATAATCAATAAACTATATTGAAAAAAATACTCTAAACCACCTCTATCTCCCTAAAGTTGCAATCATTTCCTTTTTAAAAAGTGTGTGTGCCCTGGCTGGCGTAGCTCAGTGGATTAAGCGCGGGCTGCGAACCAAAGTGTCGCAGGTTCAATTCCCAGTCAGGGTACATGCATGGGTTGCAAGCCACGGCCCCCAGCAACCGCACATTAATGTTTCTCTCTCTCTCTCTTTCTCCCTCCCTCCCCTCTCTAAAAATAAATAAATAAAATCTTTAAAAAATTTTTTTTAAAAGATTTTATTTATTTTTAGAGAGGGGAGGGAGGGAGGGGAGAGAGAGAGAGAGAGAGAGAGAGAGAGAGAGGGAGGGAGAGAGAGAGAGAGAAACATCAATGTGCGGTTGCTGGGGGTTATGGCCTGCAACCCAGGAATGTACCCTGGCTGGGAATCGAACCTGGGACACTTTAGTTCCCAGCCCGCGCTCAATCCACTGAGCTACGCCAGCCAGGGTAAATAAAATCTTAAAACAAAAACAAAAACAAAAACCCCTGTATTTAAAAAAAAAGTGTGTGTGTGTGTGTACAATTTTTAGAGAGAGGGGAAGGGAGAGAGAAAGACAGGGTGAGAAACATGGATCAGTTGCCTCTCGCATGCCCCCAAACGGGGACCTGGCCTGCAACCCAGGCATGTGCCCTGACAGAATCAAACTGGCGACCTTTCAGTTCACAGACTGGAGCTCAATCCATTGAGCCACACCCACCAGGGCTAATCATTTACTTTTCAAATAACAGCTTTGATAGACTTTGTAGGTCTCTGTCTTCTAGCTTTTTAATTTTTAAAACAAGATTTTATTTATTTTTAGAGAAGGGAGAAGGGAGGGAGAAAGACAGGGAGAGAAACAACAATGTGCGGTTGCCTCTCATGCACCCGCTACTGAGGACTTGGCCTGCAACCTAGGCATGTGCCCTGACTGGGAATCAAACCCATGACCCTTTGGTTCATAAGCCAGTACTCAATGCACTGAGCCACACCAGCCAGGGCAAATTTTTAAGGAACATAATTTGGTTGTCACATTGACAGTGGTATGCCACTGGCATTTACCGTCTGGAGTCAGGGACTACGCATCCTGCAATATGTGGGATCACTGTACCCAAAACGGCAGTAGCATGTACCATGGAAAACTCAGGGAAAGAATAATCAGGCCATTTCCAATGGTTATTTTAACTGAGCTGTTGCTATATTTAACATTATTTTTACTGTAGTTTGACATGGTGAAGGGAAACCCAGGAATGATAAAACCTGGTGTTTGCCCTCTAGGAGAAAAGACTGGTATATTTAAAAAAAGGAGAAAAAAACCCCCAAAACTACAAAGAAGCACAGCATTAGAGGGGTCAGACACAACTATATAATTAAACTAGCACCGAGAGCTAATCTCTGGCTGGGGGTCATGGAAATGATGTCCAAGGTGGGCCCTTAAGAATGGGTAGGATTTGTTAGGCAGAGGGAACTGTGATCTTAATTTTTTTAAATTTTTAATTTAATTTTTAATTTATTTTAGTGAGAAGGGAATGGAGAAGAAGAGAGGGAGAAACTGAGGGAAAGAAATATAGCGTGGTTACCTTCCATACACTCCCCAACTGGGGACCAAACCTGCAACACAGACATGTGCCCTGACCTGAAATCGAATCAGCAACCTTTCAGTTTGTAGGACACTGCCCAACCAACTAACTGAGCCACAGTGGCTGGGGCAGGAACTGAATGATCTTAAATATAAGGTGAGAAAGTACAGGGTAAGTTCAGGAAACAACAGGTTGATGACTAAAGTAGACTAGGGTTTGTATATAATAACAGATATAGGTAGAAAAGATGGCCAAAGCCATAACTTCGGACATCTCCATTTAAGGGATAAAATGAAAAAGCAGAGGGAGACAAAGCAGACAAAAGGAACGGAGAGAAAGCTAAGAGAAGAAACTAAGCGGTAGTGCATCTAAAGCAGATGGATAAGAGGATTTAAAGTATCAGCTACAGTAACAGCAACAGTAAATGCTATGAGAGTTTAGGGAAAAAGAGGTAGGGATGCTCCTGGCTTTGCATCCAGGAGCTGCTTCTGTAGGATCAGGCAGATACAGGAGCCAAGGCTGGAGAATCAGAGGCTCGAGGGCTGGCCATTCACCCGCCATCCAATGATGCAGGAAAAAGCAGGATGGCAAGTAGGAACAAAAGTCTTTCCTTACATGAAGAACACTTGTGCTTCTAAGCAGAGAAAGAAGAACCAGAGAAAGACATCTTGAAGGTGTTCATGCTGGTTCCAGAACCACAGGGCAAAAATACAAGTTGGGATAGGAGGCAAGGGAAAGAGGCTTACTGAAGATGCTTGGAACTACCACCTTCGAAGTATCTCTACGTGAGTGAATACAATGTACCCTTGGGGGAAGAGGGAGAAGCTCTGCAGGAAAGCAAAAATAAATAGAAAAAGTTTTAGCTGTGGCTTAGTGGACTGAGCGCCAGTCTGCGAACTGAGAGGTTGCCAGTTTGAAACCCAGTCAGGGCACATGCCCGGGTTGCGGGCTAGGTCCCCAGTTGGGGGTGAGTGAAAGGCAACAGATCCATGTATCTCTTGCACATTGAAAGTTTCTCTCTACCACTTTTCCCCTCCCTCCCCCTCTCTCTCTAAAAGTAAATAAATAAAAAAATATTATATGTCATTGAAATATCATTATGAGCAAGAGCATTTCATTAATTAAGACTCACTTTTCACCTAAACTTTGAATTCAGTAATTAAAAAATCCTACTTTTTGTTCCATTTCTCCTATGCAGCTGCACAGGCTGAGGGCATACAGAGGTAACAGTGGCTACTTAGAGACAACAAGGACCCAGAGACTACAGACAACGCTAATTTAATACTGGGGAGATTAAAACAAATCTGACTCACATTGTTTCTCCCATCTGTCAACTTTTTGAATATAAGAACAATTTGGTCTATATTCAAACTCCCCAAGAATTCATTTTTAGTGCTAAAGTCTATAAATATACCCAACAACACATATAATTTTACATGTTTTATCCTATATGTAAATGAATAACTTACCACGGGATCATACTCCCAAAGCTGGTTGCCTTTCAGGTGGTGGCATTTGAGCATTGTGACCGGGCCATTAAGTTTGGAGACGTCCAGACAAAGGTCGTCCGTCCTGATTTCCTTGTTGGCAGTGTAAGAGAAAACCTGAAAGACAGTAGTGGGCGCACACAAGCTCTAGCAGTAAAACTGGTCACATTTTATGTGCCCAATAAGCTGGGAGGGAAAAAACAAGTAAGATACACAATTTTGAACTTTATTACTGTAACAACTGTGAATAACCAACTCAGAAAAGCTACCACTAATTTTACACAAAGGAAAGAAAAAGGTTTTCTCCACACAGAGTGTACTGTCAAGGTCTGTCATCTGTTAGACTAAAAAAGGCAAAGTCAGTCTCATGCACAGCAATATAAATATAGTTCCCATGAGGAGCCTTTTACAAAGGTTTAGTTTAAAAATAATCATTAGATTGAAGGCTCCTTTCTCATAAAGGTTTATTATTTTTTCTTTAAAGGTAGGAAAATATTCCTGAGTGACGTCACAAGGTAAAAAGGACAGAAAATCCAAAAACTATCCCTTTTAAAGCTTTACTAAAATACTTACCTGATTACCTCCCATACCGTGACAGTTAAAAATTCCAACTTTTTCATTTTCTTTTCTAGCCATGTTATCTAGACACTGATTTGTTTCCACATTTCGTATCTATGGGACAATGAACAATGGAAACATCAGGAGTTAAAAAGATTAACCAGACAGACACATACAGATATACACACATTAAAATTAATTTAAACTGTCCACTACTATAAAAGAACTTCAGATGCTTGATGAGGTAAGCTCTATGAGTTGGGGTAAAGTTTACTGTCTGGCTGTCACAAATTCTGTGGTTTAGAAAGGTCTTAGTCTTTATATCATATAATTTTTGTGTTTCAGTGAAAAAAAAAAACCCTTGAAATTTTTTTTTAAAGATTTTATTTTTTTAGACAGGGGAAGGGTAGGAGAAAGAGGGAGAGAAACATCAATGTGTGGCTGCCTCTTGTGCGCCCCCTGCTGGGGACCTTGCCCACAATCCATGTATGTGTCCTGACTGGGAACCAAACTGGCGACACTGGTTCATAGGCCAGCACTCAATCCACTGAGCCACCAGCCAGAACCAAAATTCTTAATTATTTCATTTTTTCCAACCTGTTCTAGGTTTTGTATTTGGTTCAGTAAACTCTTTTTTGCCTAACAATTTAAAGCAATTTTTAACAACTTCCTGTGGGCAATGTTAACCACCAAGTTAAGGGGTGTCACTTTTACTGCTCTGATGACTTCTTAGGTGATACAAGGTAGCTATTTTCTAATCAGAGTTTGGAGCTTGGCTTAACTGGGAGCCTAAGCATGGTGCGGTGCAAACACCACTCCTTTGTTAGATAACTGCCAATTACATAAAAGGAATTTAAACCAGTCATCAAAATTAAGAAGAATATTTTAAGCAATGCACCTTGATATTTTGTTTCCTCTGAATTATTGCAGTTTAAAAAAGCATACTGTAAACTAGCAGACAGCTGAAAGTTCTAAATCTGTTCCCATGGATGGTACTGTTAGCAGCTAAGCCAAAGGGGATGTGTGACAAACTACACCTGTCATGTCACGTAGACAGAAAAAAAAATGTAATGAATTTTGTGTGACAGATAAAATGGAGGGAAAGTTGAAACCACAAATAAGCCATTTGTTTTTATAAACAAATGCACAGTCTGTATATTATTCCAGTATCTGATCAGGCACTAATAAGCCCATATGCATTTTTTTCTTACAAAGACACGAAGACATAGCTGTGAAAGACTGTACTATTAACAGGCTGTCAGGAATAGGAACTGGGGTTTTCACTGAAGTGAGACCCAGGTTTAAATCTAAATGACCCAAACTTTATGAGATCAATTTCCTACAGTAACTGAGAGATAATGCTGGCTCTGTGCTGAGATTAGGTAAGGTTTCACCTACCTAATTCAGAGTCTGGCACTTGGTAGTAAGCACAGAAATACTAGCAGTCTGATTTGCCACCTTACTGCCAGTCACCACCATCTTGCTATTCCGTCAACCTCAAACTCAGTTCTCGCAACACAGGATTTTTCAACTATATAATGCTGACACTTTCTCATCTCAATATTTTAAAATGTCCCTGCCATTCCACCCTTGCCCTTGAGAATTGCTATCTAAAACAAACCTCATTATCAGTCCTCCAAAAGATTCTCTCTTCTCCTGATACCCTATGTCTGTTAATAATCCCATCACTTGTCTAATTATTTAAGATGGAAATCTCAGGGTCCTTTCTTTTCTGGGTCCAACACATCATATCATATTCAGGAATTCTTTTACCATGTAATTCACATTATCTTTTTCTGCCTATTATTTTCATTCAGAAACCTATTACCTCATAAACAGATTTTATGAAAGGTGTGGTAATTGGATACAAATTTGCACACAACTTATCTTTCTACTCTGCAGTGGGTAGTCATTCAGTACTCGATGATCATGGCTACCTTGCTTGAAAAAGAATTCAGATTATTTCCTTGTACTTTTGAAAAAAATTACAGACTTTCCATTCCTCTTTCTCAATTTTTTCCTTACAAACACAGGTGGAAAGTTTGCTGAAGAAAGGTAATAAGTGAACAGGAAACATCAGAGAGGACCTGATGTTCTCCTTGGCTTCTCTTTTTCTGATGGAATGGCCTTTTGGTTAAATAGCTGATTGTCTTTTACCAAACTCAAAATTAATACAGTTCTCCAAACTCCAAATGTAGTAAGGTGTTCCATTACTCTCTATCTTATAATAAATCAACATTGATTATTTTGTTTCCACAACTGATGTTGCTAATCATAGTATATAAATTAGCCTTACTCTGTGCTAGGTATTGTTTTGTGAGTTTTGCATACCATTCTTACAACTTTCCTATGCATCATCTGGGGTTGCTTTCTGACATGAGAGATCTAAGTCTATTCCTTGGGGTTACTGCTGACTATAAAATATTAAAAGTATAGTTTCTTCAAGGATTGGAAACCATTACTTTCTGCCAATTGTTAGAGTGAGTGACATAAATCTTGATTAGCAAGATGTGGTCAGGGAGGCCAGTACAGGTGGGTGATTAGGGACTCCCAGTATAGATGGGTGACCAGGGACTTGTCTGGGGGCCTCTCATGGGACCTGACAGCACTCCTCTGAAATGCAGGGGAGTATTGGAGTGATGCCCCCACACATTTGAGATGAAGTAGGAACTTCTGTCAGAGGGCAGCCATTCAGGTTTGGGTCCCTGGGTGGCTTTACCAACAGAAGGCAGAGAGGGTTCTGTTTGGCCCTACAACTAGGCCATGTCTTAGTAGCTGAAGGGGCCATTTCTCCAGGCTGGCTTAACTATACATTGGGTAGCTAGAGAAGATGGTTTTCAGAGTATCCTCCTTTCCCTGGTAGGAAGACAGTGGTGCACTTCACCTGTGGAGTGTGTGAAATGATGTGTTGAGGGTGCAAAAAACTAGAATGACTAGAGGATGAGCTGTGGGAACCATCTGTCCTTTAGAACACCAGTTCATAGGTCTGGTAGGACTTAACTTGGAAAAGTCTTTGGAGAAGGAAAGCATTAGGAACCAACATTAGGGATGTTGAATCAGATGTTCAAAATTGTAATTTCAAACAGCTTTAAGGCTATGCAACCAATTACCAGCTCTCTAGTGAAGCATGGTAGGTAGAAGAGGTGGTGACAGCCACTTGCTTCAGTGTTTACATTGGGATGCAAACAGGTACTAGGGTTGGTTATCCAACAATATCTGGCACTTAGGTCACTGAAAAAAAAAAAAACAACCACCACCAGCACTTGGGAAAATACAGAATGACATAAACTGTATAGGCATTTTATTAGGGAGAAGAGAAATTACAGGAAAGAATTTAAGACTGGTTAATATAAGGATGTTCTAGTCAAATGTCTCCTTGGTTGGACTTCTTAAAAAAAAAAAAAGGACTAAAAAAAAAAAGAAAAATGCGAACTTCTGACAAGTTCAGGAGTACTCCGAAGTACAGTGTGAGGATTGCTGGGCGGGCAACCGGGGCTCGCCCACTCGCTGGAGGACCCCGTCCCATCCTTCGGTAGACATACAGTGGAGACCGGCAAGGAATGCTCAGGACTTTTAGTACACCATGAATGCCTTCTAGTTCATTTGCATTCCAAGTCACATCTCGATGACTATCCCCCTTGGTGGGTAACATAGTACTTGGTGATTATCAAAATGTCTCGGTGATTATCAAAAGTTGAGATTCTTAAACTAAAAGACGGATTTGACATGGAAAAAGAAGGACGCTTTCCCTCACTGCATTAGACACTTCTGCATATAAACGTGATCCTGATGTTTTCCTTAGTGGAGCAGGAAAATAACTACTGACAGGATGGTTTGGGAATCTGATATAATCCATCCCTATGGAAGCTGTTTTAGGATGTATGTACTCTAAATTACCTGAGAGTAATTATGACTATGGAGGATATCCAGTAGTTACTAGTTTTAAAAACACTGGGCTTGACAAGCAAATATGAACACCTCAACTTCAGGGCCTGGGCAGGGAGACATTTGTGGACTAATGGCAAGACAGACGGATACCCCCCTGTACTGGCTATTGTGTTAATGTCTCCAGAATTGTTCAATAGAATTTTCTAAGGTGATGGCAATGTTTTATATTTGTGCCATCCAATATAGTAGCCACTTGTTATATGTGGCTAGTGTGGCTGAGGAACTGAATGTGAATTTTACTGAATTTTAACGAACTTAAACGACCACATGTGGCTCCTGGCTGCCGCACTGGATGTGCAGCCTGGGAGCTGACACACAGAGACAAGCCTCCTGCCTTCCGCGAGGGCTGCTCATTGGTGACGAGAAACAGCGCACAGTTAGCGGAGCCGTCACCACACACGTGGCACGTGCAAGCGCCCACATTTGGCTAGTACTTTCTGGAACTAGTAGATGTCCTGGGCGATCTAAATGATTTCAAAGAGGAAGGTTTGTACACTAATGGTCCTTTTGATAGGATTTATGACTAAGTAACACATTTCTCCTTACAGAACCAGAACTGCCAATGAGCCAAACCAAAACAATCATAAGCACCACGTACAACTAACTGTGAGACTAGAGGGTGAGGGGTTGTCAGAAGCAGGAAGTTTCTCTGTGAATCATGGCAGTCTCTCAACCATGGTGGCTGGGGAAACAGCCACACTTCCAAGGTGTCTGGAGGCAGACCAGCAGGAGGGAGAGTGGGTCTGAAGACAGGCGGGCCTGAGCCTTACTCCCGATTTGACAGTTACTAGCCACGAGACCTTGGTGGGTCAGTATTCTAAGACAGTGATTCCTCAACCGGCCTCTGGACAACAGTATCTGGCCACGTATGGTTACATGTGCCATTAAAAGGGGGTTTTGTGGTCAAGTATGTTCAGGAAATGCCAGGTTAAACAAGTTTAAATAGGTGTCTTTACTGAGGGACTTCTCAAAGCCTGTCACATGCTGTGACTCTTGGTATGTATGGGGGTTGGTAGTACAGAAAGATATAAAAAGCATTTTCCAAACATTTTTGGAAACAAAATCCACTCCCTCCTCCCTCACTCCTTGTCTTTCTGGGTGACCACCTTGAGAGACATCAGACATCAGCGTTCTTTATACAATGAACTGCAACTGTTGCTGTAAGA